CTCCCACACTAAGAAAACAGGAGGGGAGGGGTCAGTTGAGCTCCTGTGTAGCGGAGCACTATGATAAAGAGAGGGAGAGAGAGGACGGAAAAAAACAAGCAGGAAAATGAAACTTATCGCCGTCTTTTTTTTAACCGACCTAAAAAAAAGTTATCGTGCGATTAATTGATTTATTGACTATCGCGACAGGCCTAAGTGATATGTTTTTATAGTGTGGTTATCTCTGATTTAATTGATGATTTTATGTGCAGACTGGGTTGGGGGACTCTTGATCAGGGTTTCACACACTCAGGAGGCTTTTAGTTAAATACATGCCTGATTTAAAACAACACATAAGAACTGTGATTAAAACATTAGAGAGGAATAATGTCTGAACTTTTGACTCCGTGTAGAGATAGCCTGGCCCTTTATGTCATGAGGCGGAGTCAGGATGCGAAGAGGTTTGTTACTTGATATGTTACCGGGATCTCGGCACTGGTTAGCTGATGTCTGTCGGAGGCACATTAAAAAAAGCTAATCAGTCCACAGCTGTGTCCGGATGGTTTTGTGTGGCTCACTCCAACATTCACATGTCATTATTAACTGGTGTAGATCTGAACAGGTACAGGGTAATGAACATTGCTTGTTTTTTAACAGCCTAATTCAGCTAAACAAATACAAAAATGACAACTGAGCTAAAAACTGGTGTGGTTGTAGTCATCTGCTGATGGGTTTTCTGTTTGTTTTTCTCTGTTGTTTAAGTGATATCATCTTTTTATTTTATTGTACCTGGTTCATATTGTATTGCAAAATGTATTTGCCTCACTGTGTGGAGATAAAGTTAATTTAGCAGCAGTTTCTTGCCAGCGTTTTTCGTTTTTATTTGCAAAGCGTTTGTCGCAGTGACCTTTCACAACTGCGTAATTTCGCCGCACAATAATTTGCCTTCACGACTCACGCACCTGCAATTTATCCGCCGACTGCCTGCTCCTTTCTTCATCTCTGAAAGGTGCTTAATGCTGCCTTGAAGTCTCTCTCATGTAAATCCTGAACATCGTTTGTTCGTGAAGCAAAGCAGGCTGTTGAAACCTTAATGAGTCGCTTGTTTTTCCTCTTTGCTTTTTGAAAATGTTTTGTCATGGTTGTGGTTTGGTTGAACCCAAAATGCAGGCAGGCACGAGAACGTCAAGATAAAATGAACACTGGTTTATTAAATATGGAAAGGAGAAGCGGACGTGGCGGAGACAAAACCATTAACCAAGACAAGAACCATGACAGAGTTTAAACAAGTTTAAATTCCCTGCAGCGTCACGCTAAATACTGCAGTTTATATGTTATGAAAAAGTGACACACTGGAGGAAAAAACTAGACATTACATTTGATTACCAGTATTTTATGGCCCTAATTATTACATCAAAGGCATTGTAAATAAAGCAATAATTCCTTTGAAAATTCAACTTTATTTTGAGCTTTCAATGCTTTATCCTTTAAGTTGATGTGAGATTTGTGAGGAAATGTGACCCATCACATCAAATCAAGGATTAAATCATATTTTGGTCAAACTAAATGAAACGCATTGATACATTTTTGGCTTTTTAAGCTACGATTTTGATACCTGAATCATGCTGATATCATGAGAAGTTCTAGAGGCGTGGCTTGATTTGTCTTTCTAATAAAAAAAAAAAACTCTTGAAAAATCAGCCTGAATCCTATTTTTTCTTATTCTAATGAGGATTTCTTGACGTCATTTGAAAGAGGAAACATCAAACCATATTTGGATATAAGGATTTCCCAGACAGTTTTAAAAATAGCTTTGCAAACGTTTAGGGAATGTAGCAAAAAATGAGGGTTTTTCTGCTCAAAATCATCCTTTATCACATGGTTACAATAGCAATGTGATTGAAAGGTTTTGTAATGGGATGAATAAGTAATAAAAATAAAGTGTTTTTAAAGATGTAATTTAAGAATAAGAAATTATCATGTAATGTGAAATAATGGTTTGTGCAGTGAGATATGACAGAGTTTATTTTTCTTTGTGTGGCAGCAGTGTTCCTCCGTAGTTGTTGTTATTTTTGCTTCTTTTCTGTCACTTTCCTGTCAGATCAGATTATAGAAACCTGTCTCCTGTTGCTCTTTGTTTGCTACCAGCGTGTCTGGAGGGGAGCTGTTTGACCGCATCGTAGAAAAGGGTTTTTACACTGAGATGGATGCCAGTCGACTCATCCGGCAGGTTTTAGATGCAGTCAACTATCTGCACTCCATGGGCATCGTGCACAGAGACCTGAAGGTAAAACAGCATTTCATTTGAATATGTGCGTGTGGCTGACATGCTCCACCTGAGCAGGGGGAAATCCCTTATAGTGTTTCCGGTATGAGTGCTGTCACATGTTGTGGTGATCACCCACGGAGGGTAAATGTCAGGGATTTTCCTCCTCGGTAAACTGTGAAATGCCCTCGATTGAGCTGTGAGAGCTTTTTAAAAGACAAATCCTTTGTCTGACATCTTTACTGACTGGATGATTTACCACCAGGATACGCTAGAGAGGAAAGAAAATGCTAAAATAAAAAAAGGCTGACCTTTTTGTTTGTATCCTGTTTTTTTATTTTCAGCCTGAAAACCTGCTTTACTTCAGCTCTGACGATGACTCAAAGATCATGATCAGTGACTTCGGCCTGTCCAAGATGGAGGGCACGGGGGGTGTGATGGCCACGGCCTGTGGGACTCCTGGATACGTGGGTGAGGAAGCCCTCTGAGCTCTGGCATTTGTGGAAACTTTCTCAGAGATAATTGGATTCTGTGGTAAAGTAAACAACCCAGTGAAACCAGTCGCCACAGGTTAATCATCTGCTTCGTTCAATCAAAAGGCTCTTTCATAAAACAGCCCAGGCGTGCAGGACCCCTGAGGTACCTCTCTCCCACCAAGCCAAGCAGTAACAGCCAGTGCTGCGGCTCAGTGATGTGATGAACTGATGATAGTGTGCAACCATGTGCTCACAGACTTAAATAAGAACAAATTCCTTACTGAAGAAAAATCAATGATGAACAGTAACCTTGGAGTTACTTTAAAAATTTAATTACCCACAAAGAGATTTGCTAAAGTGAGTCGGTAATTCTTTGTTCCCTTTCAGTCAATTCACTCGGTACAACATCATGTATGGGAACCACGCCCCTGCGTGTCCTGGCTGAAGCCACCTCTAATCACGCCTTTAGGCAGGTGACGTGATGACGACAGATGTCAGGCTCCGCCTGCACATATAAATATTGTCGCATCACCGTCACTCCTCAGTTCTACTGCTCTTCACCGAGCCCAGCTGTGCAGCGGGGCCACCATGTGTTGTACCT